GGGGGGGTGGAATGTGATTATGAAAATAAGAAAATATCCCACAATTTCTATTTTATGAGAAGTTGAGAGAAGATGGCAAAAGAAAGAAAAAGTCAATGGGATTCCTATGGTTCAGTGAATCCTGATTTCATATGGTATGAGAACTGCACCTGCCTTTAAAGCAAGTATTGTGTTTCTGAGCTGTGAAGAACAGACTGTTTCTGTCTTCTCTCAGAGCTTCACTTCGGCAGCGCTCCAGATCTCAGCTCTCTAATGTGGTCCCTGACCCTGCATTATCCATTGCAGGAGACCATTCAGAGTCTGTGTATCTTATGTCTTCTTATGGAGAAGATGATGGACCATCAAAAAAGGTCAGATGCAATAGTTTATTATTTAATTGTAAACAAGCAGGACATCTTTATATTGCTTGGTACTGATAATCTGTAGATTCGTGATTCTGTTACAGGAGCTGTTGGCATGTCTTCTTAGATGGATTTTTTTTTTCTGTACCAACCCGCAGCTTTGGGTCTTATCCTTTGTGTAAGCTCTAGGCTGCATTTTGATGGCTGTTGTGTTTATTTGTCCATATAAAATTTCTAGCAGACCATGAGCTGTTGATAGATTGATATATGTTGTGGATGAAGATGTTCAGTCTGTGAAATGTAATAGCCACTGAGTGATACAAGTGATACCACTTCTTCTTTAGTAAAGAGTAAATTCATTTCACTCTCTCTCAGAATCACCTGGAGAGGTATGAGTAAAGAGAGAACATCCCTGCAACCTGAGCCAGAGTCCTTCCACTGATTTCAGCAGACTTTGTATCAGTGTCCTTGTGCAATCAAGCAATATAGGAAATAAAGACAGCATACTTTAAAATGATGCAAAATAGGATCAATTCTTTAGGAATATGCACACTGGATTGATTTCTAAAGTGCTTATAAAGCTACCTGCACCAATTTGCAAGGTTATAGATATTCAGTGCAGGACGTGGCTGTTAGAAGTCACAGAATCACAGAATCGTTTAGGTTGGAAGGGCCCTCTGGAGATCATCTAGCCCACCCTCCCTGCTCAAGCAGGGTCACCTAGAGCATATTTCCCAGGATCCCATCCAGACGGGTTTTGAATATCTCCAGGGAAGGAGACTCCACTACCCCTCTGGGCAACCTGTTCCAATGCTCAGTCACCCTCACAGTGAAGAAGTTTTTTTCTCAGGTTCAGATGGAACTTCCTGTGGTTCAGTTCCTGCCCGTTGCCTCTTGTCCTGTCGCTGGGCACCACAGAGAAGAGACTGGCCTCATCCTCTTGACACTCCCCCTTCAGATACTTGTACTGCCCTTGCTCTTGCTAAGTCACTGCCCTTGCTCTTGCTAAGCCTATTCTGTGGACAAATAGAAGGCCTTAGGGCTGTTACTCTGGCACTGACTTAGAAAAAAAAAATAAAAAGCAAAATGTTTCCATCCCTTTATCCTTGCACATTTCCAGCAGATAGATAGATATTCACAGGGTCTTTTTTGTCTGGGCATTTTGAGCTATGTGAACTGAGGGATATGAACAGGGCTCAGCACACTGAGTGTTACAAAAATTCTGCACGAAATCAAGCTGCAGGGTAGGTTATAATTTGATGATGCATACTCTGCACTTACTGGAAGTAATTATGGGAATTGTGCACATAGTCTGAGGATGCTTCACATAAGGGAGGCGTAATTAGCATGTATAAAGCTTGGCTCTAGCTATCCCTCTCGGGTCTTCTTTGTTCTAATTATACTTCATGCCTCTTTGATGCGATGTCTGATCAGTACCTTCACCCACACTGTTTTAAAATAATACTTAAGCATTCCATGAGTGACATAAAAAGTCCCCTGGTGAGGAAAGAGTTTAAATTCTGGTAGTGAGTATTGCGTTGCACCTCATCTGGAAGTAGCAGAAAGGGAACAGCCTGAGTTTCAGTAGCTGAAAGTCTTAAGCAGGTCATAATTAATCCCTTCATTTGGAATCAGTAGAGCTGCACAAGCTATAATGTCTCTCTTTTTCTCCAGGGACAATAGAGGTAGGATTTATTTAACGCTCTTGTGACTCCCTAACTCTACAAAAGAGTTCAAGACAGCAGGCGAGACTCATCAGGTTCCTTCCTATACATGGCCAGACTAGCTGTTTTAATACTAGAGGCAGCCATTTAACAGAGTACCTATGCTCGTTATTTTATCTCACTGACAAAAGGAAAACATCACTCAGAGAATGCTTTTTTTTTTTTTTCCATAAATGCAACTATTTTTTAGGAATCTGTTGCTGTGGATGAAGAAGATGTTAAGCCTGTACCATTTGCCAGGATTTTGAAATACAATGCTTCAGAATGGCCATATATGGTGCTTGGATCTCTGGGAGCAGCTGTGAATGGAGCAGTCAGTCCACTCTATGCTTTGTTATTCAGTCAGATTCTTGGGGTATGTTACACTACTCTTTTAAAGCATGTTTCTGCTCTTAAGCAAAGGGGAGCAAAGGATCCTGTGAGGCAGAACTTGATATGTTTTGCACAAGTCTTTTAACCTTGTCTAGTAAATGAGCTTAATGTTCTTCCCTATAAGCAGCTGTTCGGTATAGTTATTTATATCATCACAGTCATCACAGTATCATTCAAGTTGCTTAAAAGGATAGAATCATTAGTGTTTGTCATGTGTGCTTCATTCTCCCTCTCATTCACTTTCCAGGAACTATTGGGAGCGGGTTTCAGTATGTGCGTACGCTGTTTATTTTAGATGAGGCAAGATGTACCTCACACCCAGGTACAGCAAGGACGGAGACCTGCAGAGGTCCCTCCCTACTGGACTTTATTCTACAAACTTGGCCAGGCCTTTGAGAAAGCTTTGTATCAGATCCAAAAACTATTGAACTCTTTGTTTGTTTATTGAACTATTGGAACATGCAGTTCTGCTGCCTGTGCTCAGCAAAACACCTAGGGAGAGGCAGACCATTGTAACAGGATTCACAGCTGCCAGCAGAAAGTAGGCCTGCATCAACCAGCCTGGAAGACCGACAGGAAATAGGAATATATTTAAACCTTGGTGTTCATTGAAGGATATGTTACCATCAAAATCCAATGCATTACTTGAAAGTGTTTGAGAGGTCAGCTGTGACTGCTTTTCCTTCAAAAGCCTGCCAAAACAGAAAGAGGGGGTTCTTCCCCATTTTGTGAAGTAGCTTTTTGGTGAAAACATTGGCCAAGGTGGTAGGAGACTGGGGAGCTACCTGAAGAGATTCAGCACTGCTCTAACTAATGCCTAGGACAGTATCCTGTTTTCCAGGATTCAGTAGGGTTTCGTCTAGTCTCTGTTGGCCCTGTTTTTATTGGGTAAAGTAATGACATTACACTGGGAAGAAATTGGGAATGACATTATAGTTTTGCGGTTTGGGTACCACCTGGAACAGTGTAAAATCTGTGTTGTGATCCCCACTTAATTGTTTAGGTCAGGTTAGACATGTACGTGTGCAAAGAATGCATAGCCTGAAAAGGTAGGTGCTCTTCTACAAAGCGAAGCTTCAAATTCTTTCAGGCAGGAAAGAAGTAATGCATGGTGTCGCATCTGAGATTAGGTTAAAAAAGGGCTGAGAAAAAGTTCCTAATAACAGTTCCTGCAATCTCTTAAAGAAAAGATTGATCTCATGCCGTTGGTGTTTTTTTGGGTTTGTTTTGTTTTAAATAAAGGCTTAGACATTTCCCTCAAGAAAGTTATTCAAGACTATGAATCACATTTACTTGCAGCTTGATGTCTGCTATCTAAAATCCAGGGACAGGCACATCAAGAAACATTCCAGTCTCTGTTAATCCACTTGGTGGATCCTGGCCAACGTGCTTGGCCTTTTAGCCTTTAGGTCTACCATCTCGAAACACTTTTTGGATGACTAGACCTCAAGCTAATGACTATGGCTTTCACTAGATAACAGATGAGGCACTGCTGTGTCTACTCTGCAATGGCTATAACTTTTGATCCCCTTTGAGAGTTAGGTTTTCCAGACATTGAAAGGTCTGAGCCTGAAGTCTGAGCCTGCAAGATGTTGATGCCTTCATTGCCAAGGACAGATTCCCTGTCTTGGAGGTCTGGGTCTATGGGAGGAGAGAGTTTGCAAAGTAAAACTAGGCCGCAACAAACATGAGCAAAATTCAGCGTCTGTGTTTTATTATCCATAACTGTAAGCAATTTTTGTTCTGCCTGGTGCCAAGGCAGGCAGATGGAACATGCATCTGCCTTCCAAGTGTTTGAATATCTTCAGTGATGTAGTGACAGATGTGTGGGCTTGTGCTCTGGAAACAATACAGTTGGAGAAGTGAGGGGAAAAACCCCCACAGCTATGGAATGAAAAAAGTTTAGCAAAGTCTGGCTTCAAGGTTCTCGGAAATTAGACCCAAAAAGTGAATGTATACTGGACAATACTGGGTGTGTGGTCTTAACAGTTTAGTTCAGATCAGAAGGGCGTCTTTGGAACAAATTTCTCAGTGTTCCTTCTTACTATGCTTTGGTTCCCATTGTGGCATAGTCTCAGAGCACAGGAAATGGATCCTTTTCCAGTGAAACTGAACTAGAAGATGTGCTCCAACCGCTACTGGACATGTAGCCCATGGCCCCTGATTAAAGATCGTGCAAAGTAAAAACAAAGTGAAATTTGTATAATCTGGATTATATAGCACCAGCTCTTTCCTTTTATTGACCTGATACTATTGTCCATGCTACATGCTAATGTGGCCAATTTTTTTTTTTTTTATAATCAAGATCATAGTTCAAGAATATAGCTAAGCATGTTAGGATAACCATAGAACCAGCTAGTTAAGTTTTACAGGACAAATTTTCAAGGGAAAAGGTCCTCTGTTTGCAATATAGAGATCTCTTCCCAGCCAGTGTTATCCACTTTTGCTTCTTTAGGGTAGTGATGAGGAGATCTGCACTGTGGGCCTAATCCAACAAAGCACTCTTGCCCTCTGTTTAGGGTGGGTGTAAGCATATACTTCAACCCGTCACTTGTCTTGAGCTGGCGTGCTTTCCTGAATCTAGGACTTGCAATAGGAGTCCCAGATTGACTGATAACTGACTTCACCAGAAATCTCCTCAGTGTCTCGCAGACACTGGAGTTCTCCCAGCTTTTTTATCTACCAGCAGCAGAGAGCCTGGCCACTTGAGGGGGCCTTTCACAACACCTTTCATGTGTAACAGAAAGCAGTGGAGTCACTTTGAATGTAGGTGATACAGGCAGAATATTAAAGAAGGAAAGATTCACTGCACCCTCCTCTTTCATGAGCACCCAGATCCAACCTCCCTAAAACCAGAAACAATGCTGTCTTTTACTTTCTTGAAGTGACAACTCCTACTTAATCACACCTGCCATCTAGCCGTGCAGAAGCAATGAACTCAAGTCTATTTATAACAAGCATGAATACTTACTAGGACTCACCCTAGGGTCCTAGGGCATTTGTCTTCCTTTATTTATCTTTACTTCTCTCTTCAGTGTTCGGTCTGGTATTTATTTGATATTTCTGTATTTAGTTAGAGAGGAAATTACACAGTGGAGAAAAAAGAAATGTTGAGTTCAACGAATGTATGGGGTCATTCCAGCTATGTAGAGAGAACGCACAAATTGCTTGCAAAAAGCCTTCAGCATCTCTGGAGAGTAAAGTGTTTTTCATCCCAGTTCACAGCTTTGTATTTATTGTGATCCATCACACACAGTGTTTATCACATTGTTTATTAGCCTTATTCGTTAAAATTTCTATTCACTTCAGCAGAGATTTTGCTGATGTTTCTTCATGTGAAGGAGTATCATAGTACTGTAATTAAGATCTAATGCATGATGAGTAGTTACTCCCATGGTTATGTTTTAGGCTAGCCATATGAGTAACGTGACCATTACTATGACGTGCTTTTTCCCATTCATGTCTACATATTGTATAATGTGATGATAGAGAAAATGCTGTTCCAGCAGTTCTCAAATACAGACTCCTTGTAGCACACAGTCCTCATGACACTGAGTTCACCTTCTTGTGTCTCATTCAGTCCAGTTATTTAACTGGAACACTTCCCACGAAAATAAGCAAGCAAAAAAAAACCCTTAAGTTTTTTCTTTCTCTATCTATCTTTCTCTAGTTACGTAAGTTACAGAGATGAAAGCTGCTCATAGCCGTTCGGTTCAGGATCAAATGTGAATTACTGAAGGTGCAATGGATTTCATTAAGGGGATAGGAACAGCAGCAGACTGTTATATTTTATATTCTCGTTATGATGGATTAAAATAAGAGATTTGCATCAAAACATATGGATAATTTTCTTTAAACAGAGAAGATATGTCTGAAAAGTCGTATGCCTTACTACTGATAAGTAGTAACACAACATGGACTTGGAGCAGACCTTAGCTTGAAACACTAAATGCTGTTTCAATATTATCATTTTGAACTTTGCGGGATTTATTTTGTTGCTAAGGTACTGATGTACAAAGTTGAAAATACTTTGAAGTGGAATTCCCCGTAGAGAATAGCTATTTCTCTTTCTCAAATTCATGCTCTAATTCCTCCCAATTACTTGAATGTGTAGATAACTTTGAACTGTAAATAACTTGGGTTGACCTTTTAAGACTAGGACTTAAGTTTTTTTTGGTGGAATTTTTATATATAGCAGGTGTAATGAAAATTCCATCTTCTCTTTCTCTTGTTAGATATTGACCTGAAGGAATTTAGGATGTTTTTGATCTAAGTAAAGGTCAGATGCTCAAGTTATTTTTAACTACATCTTGAAGATAACAGATTAGTGGAGGAGTACAAACATGAGCTGTGGCTTATACCTGTGAGTAGTAAAAGAAGTTTAACAACTTCAAGTAGGTTAACTGACCTACACATCAATTGCTGTGAGTGGAAGTGATTGCTAAAGGATGACTACTTAAATTTGGACCATTACCTCATTATCAGCCAATAACCCTGGCAGTTGGTGAAAAAGATCAGATATAAAGAAGGAGAGATAAAAGGAAAATGCCATGGAGGGGGGAGGGAGGCTATACTTTAAGCACTAATGATGCTTTTTCTCAAGTGTCCAGCAGGAGGGGAATAGCTTGCATCCACACTCCTTTAGCAGAGGACAGTGGGTTCCACTTGAAGCTACCTATAGCAATTAAAACAACATCAATTAGAGCTGTGCAAGGAGAGTCATCCTATGGTGTATTCATGTACAAGTACTTTGTTTTGTGTGGCCTAATTCAGGTAGTAATTGTCATAGATTAGAAAGGAGTTAAGGAAGCTGCTGCATTATTGCTTTGTCTCTATGCTATTTATTTTATTGCTGTTCTCTGATTATCAGACTAGATCTTGTTTATAACGGAGAGCTGACTGATTAGCTATAACTAGGCGTGGGCAGCAAGTCATAGTAGTATGTGCAGACACTGAGAATAATAAACTTTTTTTTTTAACAGGAGTAAAAAGCGTTATGTTGTCCCGAGACTTAGTTTGGGAAAATCTGGGGCGAATCTGGGGTGTGTTTGTCCAAAGCAGTGACTTAAACACTGCAGGCCAGAATGGTGTCACAGAGTGGAATCTCATCCTCACACTGATGCCTCTTTGCAGGCTGCACTTAGCGGCAGTTACTGGGAGAGAGGTGAGATTTCAGGCATAGTCTTTTCTTTGGTGCTTCCCATTTGTTGGTCTGTATTTCTTCCTGTCCGTCCCACTGCCTGTTGTGAATCGCGCTCTTGGGAAACTGCAATAACTATATGAAAAACTTTGGAGTTTGTGAGTTCCTGGAAATGCCACCCACAAGTTAAGCGCATGGAACCAAATTCTGTCACGTCCCGTTGCAGATGTTGGCTTAACTTGTAAGTTCTATTTCCCATGTTCACACGCCTCTAATACTTTACCCCCCATTTTTTTCAAAGACCTTCTCCATTCTTGAGGAGGAAGAACAAAGAAGACAGATCAATGGTGTCTGCTTGCTGTTTGTCCTAGTTGGACTTGTATCATTTCTGACACAATTTCTACAGGTAATAGCAGTCCAATATAAGTAAATTTTGTTTCTCATCTCTTTTACTCTGTGTGTATACCTTTCCGAATAATAATTGCATTTATTCTTATGCACTCCAGGCATACACTTTTGCTAAGTCTGGTGAGCTGCTTACAAGACGGCTAAGGAAAATTGGTTTCCAGGCTATGCTAGGGCAAGAAATTGGTTGGTTTGATGACCAGAGGAACAGCCCTGGTGCTTTGACTACAAGACTTGCAACAGATGCATCACAGGTCCAAGGGGTAAGACATGATATATGAAGAACTGCTTTACTATAAGGACTAATTGAAGGCCTGTTTTGGCACATTGTCCCCAAAATTAACTAGTATGCAAACAGCAATGTCAGGATATATCCAGCCTTTGTCAGTTGATCAAGCTATTTGCTTGTCATAGACTGTCAGCTTGGAATTATTTTCAGTGATTTTCCTAAAGGCAAAAATAGGATCACAATTTACTCCCTATTATTTGTGCCTGTATACCAGAGCAAGAACACAAAAATTAATAAAATTAATACAATCCAGCAATGGAGCCATGGGGAGCATTCAGTGCAGAGTTTTAGATTTCTTGTTTCTGAAAATGCATTTATTAGCTTTTTGCCACAATGCTTAATATTTATTTCAAAAACATGTCAGGCTTCATTCATCACACTTTAAAACAATTTACACTATTGCGTAGTGCCCCAGCCAGAGATCCATGCAGTTAGTGTGACTTACTGTCTGAGAAGGTGAACCACTAACCCCATCCTGTCATGAGCTCTTTCCAAAGAATCTGAGAAGCCAGCTGCAAAGCTCTTCTTATAGCCATGCTTACAGAGCTCATTTTAATTGAAATAAACTCATAAAACACTGAGTGAATAGTATAATAGTCTTCTAAGGGAAATCTTTGTTCTAAGCAAATGTAGTGCGATGGGGCATGGCTGTTCAGCCCACAGCCCTGGAGGAAGGAAGGGCTATTTGAGCAGCACCTCCTCCACCTTTTACAGCCTGACACAGCACTCAGCTAGCTGCTGCAGTTGCAGAGGGAGCTGAAGGTGAGAAGATGCAGGCAAGTGCCTGGAATTTGAAAATGTCTTCAATTGCACTTGGAGTAAGAAGTGGGCTCTTGCAGCTGCAGGATCCATATAGTATGAGCAGATGCTACGACTGCTCCTTACACTGGCATCTGTACGGCTGGGTGACCCACCTGCCACCGGGGGAAGGCCAGAGACAGCCCAGGAGCACCTTGCTCTGCTGCTCCAGCTCAGAGGGGAAGTGCATGATGAGCATTTTGTGCTGGAATTTCAAATTTTTCCGTGTGAATTTGACTGAAAATGATTGAGAATACAAAATGTATGTTTTTTCTAATTCACAGCAGCTTAGTTTCTATTTAGTGCTGCTGTTTACTGGAAGAAGTGAACTTCTGAGTGCATAAATCAAATCTGTTACAAAGAATAGCGTTCTTGAAGTACATGATGGAAAGATGAATGACCGACAGTAAAGATGATGTCAAAGGCACATATAAAATTTATCCCTAACAGACAGGCAGAAAAGCGACTTTAATTCACCATTTCTCACTGGTGTTTCCTACTGATTTTAGCACAGCTAAGACTTTGTTGTGTTAATAGTTAAGTTGCAAAAGGGTTCTGTTTATTCTTTAAATCGAGGTAGATAAATATATGGGCTAAACAGAATATGCAGAAGCATGACTCCTCAGGGAACCAAGGGAACTTATTTAAATGGTTAATTATCTTTGTTAGTATCATTAGGAACAATTTTCTTCAGTTCTCCTTGGAAAGTTTGGTAGGTAAAAAGAATATTTGAGATTTGCGTTCCTTCTCTTGATACAATTATTGGGAGACAGTGTATCTAAACTGGCTAAATTCCAGTGATATTAACAGCCATTGGTGCCCTATGACATTTTAATGATATTTATAGTTTTCTTAATTTTTATAGGAAGATTTATTTAAAGAATAGTGAAGTTACTATTGAAGTACAAGTCAATCATTTCCTTTTCTTTTCTTTAAAGGCAACTGGATCCCAGATAGGAATGATTGTCAATTCCTTTACCAACATTGGAGTGGCCATCATTATTGCTTTCTACTTCAGCTGGAAACTGAGTCTAGTTATAATGTGTTTTCTGCCATTTTTGGCCTTATCTGGAGCTGTGCAGGCCAGAATGCTGACAGGATTTGCCGCTCAGGACAAGAAATCTCTGGAAGCTACTGGACGGGTAACATTTAAAAACTAACTTACATTCGCAGCCACAGGGAGCTGAAAGTCAGGAATTTGGGACCATCAATAACTCAAATGTAATGAAGCTGGCAACATTTTGCAAATAAGTTTTACTATTTCAGTTTATCAAGCTGTCAAAACATCTCAGGGAATTCCCTAGCTGTAAAAGCACTTACTGCTTGGACTGTGACTTACTTTTCAGAAGTTATTGGACCTAAATGGTAAACATAGATCTCTGATCAATCGGTTTCATTGCTGTCAGGTTTTGTTTAAATACCCATTTGGTGATTGCCTGTGAGTATACTGTTCTCAGAGAATAGTGACACCTGTTCACTCAGAAATCATCACAGCTAAGATTTCAGCACTGAATAACCAGTTGGTATGTTGATTTTAGAGAGAATGAAATTATTTCTTCAGTAAAGCCTATATTTCAGCAGCTTCCCTATCAATTTGTGCTGCTAGATCACAAGCATAAGTTTGTTTTTATGTTGTGTTGTAGCAGTCAAATTTCAATCAATTGTAATTTCTCAGCTGGTATATAGATTTTCACTTTTCTTATGGATGAGCATTAACCTTTTTGTTATTTTGGACAGGAGACATAGCACTTTCCTGTAGTGCTTTATATGTCCTCCGTGGTGACTGGGAGGAAGCAGGTGTGTGTGGGTATTAAAACAACCAGCATGGGAGACAAGGAAGGAATTCCCTGCCTTGCAAACCAAGCACCCTGTATTTAGTGATCCCTGATTAAAATCCTCCTCTTGTTACTCTCACTCCGGTTTCCCACTTAGCACCATCCCATGTTCCTTTGGCTGCAGGACCCTAAGAACTGCCTCACCGAAGGCTGAGAATAGATGTCACAGAATCACAGAACGGCTGAGGTTGGAAGGGACCTCTGGAGACTGTCTAGTCCAACCCTCCTGCTCAAGCAGAGTCACACAGAGCACATTGCCCAGGATTGTGTCCAGACGGCTTTTGAATATCTCCAAGGATGGAGACTCCACAACCTCTCCGGGCAGCCTGTTCCAGTGCTCAGTCACCCTCACAGGAAAGAATTCCATGGAGAGAGTCAATAGATCTGCAGCTACGCAGAGTGCTGCAGTCTGCATTGGCTGAGCAGACTCCGGTCATATAGCTGACTAGGAAAAGTGGGGACCCAAGAAAAAGGAATGTCATTTCCTCAGGGAGTTTGTTCCTAACCAGAAATAGCAGTGGACAGGTTTGCTGTCTTTGAAACACTCAAACTCTTTTGACACTAATTCCAATCGCTAAGTTCTGGCACGTGACCCAGAACCTGAGCAATTGTAATTCTGCCTCGTACAGCAATGCAGAAAGTGAACTGCATCAGAAATGTAGGGGACTTGCAATACAGGCAACACAGTGAGGCCTACCTCAGTCATTACCCCTCTCAGGGTAACATCTGAGCCTTTATCCCCCTTTAGGCTGCCATATCTCCAGCATCAGAACAAATACGCTTTGCAGGGCTCCCCGAAGCCTCGGAGCTTTTCCTTTCGCCCAGCTCCTCCTTTATCCCATCTCATAATGACTCTTCCAGAGCTCCCTTTCCAACCCTTCTCCTGCTTCATACATTAAAGTCCTGCCCACCAAGTCCCTAAGCCATCTCACCTCTACCCTGCCTCGTCTGAGGCTCATCTCTACCTGTCTGAGCCCTCAGCCAGGTATCTTTAGCCTCCTCCTGCACATAATCTGTGCAGCAAGCGTATGGAGCAGAGTTCTTTGCTCTGTTCAGCCCGTCTGTTTCCCATTCCCTGCTGCAGCTCACCCAGCCTGCCCCCCTGTTCTGGCTTCTTTCAAAGGAGCAAATCTTCAACTCCTGCTTCTGGGTGTGATTATAAAGAAAACATTTAACAAATGAAGACAAATAATTTAAATTAATGTAAAGGAATAAATGAACTATATTCATTTTGACTGCCTATACATGCAGACTTCTAGAATATTTTTTTCAAATGGACACAGGGTATTACCTGAATTAACATCACTTGACTTTGGTATCACTGATCAAATGAACACATTTAAGGACCACTCTGAAGTACTGTTAAGAGCAATCTTCAGCTCTAGAAAGTCAAGGAGCAATTAAGGCCTGACCAGTCAGTCACATTCAGAATGGTTTGATTATTTGCAAAAAGTGATAAATCAAAATACCATCTTGGAACTGACATATAGATTTAAACAGAGAAATTTTACTAATGAGTCGAGGCATCAGCTTATATTCAACAGAGTGACCCAGCGACTGGGGTGAAAAGGGCACTCAGGGCTTCAGCAGTTTTGGCACTGACTGATCGTCTGGTCTTATTTTCTAATTTATTTGCCAGCATTGCATCCAAATGCAAAAGGCTTTTTTTGAGTCTCCACAATGATTGTTCACCAGCCGTGCTAAACATAGAAAAGCACAGGCTCAGCACTGCAATTCACGGTACCTACTTATCTGCTCCTTCAAATTATATGATAATGTAACAGATTTGATCCTTAATTTTGGCCAGAAAAAAAATGAAAAGAATATTTTGTAAAGATATATATTCAGGTCTCTTCCTACATGCTGAAAGTATTCATGGATCATACACTAGACTATTGCTACCCAAAGGAAAGCGTCACACTGTGAAGCCATTACCAAAGTCCGGGCAAACTAGAAGTGTTGTTAAAATTAAACAAGATCAATTCCTGAATAAAATTACTTGAAATAAGATAGGTGAAACTGGAATCAAACAAAGTGGTTATGTACTTCTACTGATGAAACTGTAGTGCTGTTTTGTGGGGTGGAGAACCATATTCTGACTAGGAACAAAACACAGTGTGAAGCCTGTAATTACTTCAGGTTCCAGAGAGGTTTCCAAACCACAGAGGAAGATCATGGGAATTCAGTTTCCTGTGTTGCGTTTTTCTATGTGCATAGGCAGGCATTTATTTATTCTTTGTCTACGTACAAGGTAGAATCCTGGAAACTGTGTTATTGATCTCAGAGGAATCAAGAGGTCGTCTTTCATTCATATGTTACATCTCATCAGGCTTTTTTGGAGATTGACAAGAAAAACAATGAGGGTGAGAAGGAGAGGAAACAGTAAACTCAAGTGCTTCTTGAGGGAAGTGGGGAATAGCATCCCTTCTATCTCTTTCC